AAGACAACAGAGGCACAAACACAGTAGAAGCAGATGCACGAACACAGTAGATGCGCACAGTAGAGGCACGAACACGACAGAGCACACAACGGAACACGGCAAAGGCACAGACACAAGAACCCTAAAAGAAATTAGGGCACACAGTAGAACATGGGTGGGCACAACACACACATGTCACCAGAAAGTTGGCTCTGATGCCAAGTCAAACAATATGGTAGAATATTTTCAGATGTATTTTATTCTCCGAAAGGAGGTATTTATAATACAAGGTTACAAACCCTAGTAGGGTCAAATTGGGAAAACAAGTGGAATCCTAATTACATAATATCTATATAAAAGGAAATAAATAAAATAATATCCTAATAGAATATGATATCTCTCGCTGACATAAAATTCAACCTCTGAAATGCGGTGAGCTTCCAATCAGAATCCGATCTGTTTCTCTTCCAATAAGCTCTGACCATGAAGAATAAGAACAAAGCCAACAATGACAAGGCCAACAAGGACAAAAGTATGCCGAAAGTTAAGATCAATGTATGATATGTACATGAAATTTGGCTCTTCCGACGTTGAGAATTGCATATGCTGAGTTTTGCTGATGGGCTAGTTGCACAGAGACCTTGATTGTCCAAGAAGCTTCCGTCATAAGCAGGATTTTCAAATTCAATTGGGATCTTCCCAGATAGGTGATTGGAAGAGAGATTGAAATGGTTGAGCTTCAGAAGCCCAAGCAGAGCTGGAATTTGGCCAGAAATTTGATTTTCTGAAAGGTCCAGTTCAGTAAGGACTGGTAGAAGACCAAGTTTCTCTGGAATTGGTCCAGAGAGTTGATTTCGACTGAAATTAAGAGTGTTGAGTGATTTCCATGATATAATCTCTGATGGAAGGAAGCCAGTAAGCTGATTCTGATCAAGAGAAAGAGTGATTAAGCTAGGAAGATCCCTTCAAGTTCCAGGATGACACCCCGGTTGGAATGTAACCTGAAAATCTGTTATCTCTGATTTCCAGCCGTGTAAGACTCCAAGATATTTTCTCAGGAAGCTCACAGGTAAGAGAGTTGTTGCTCATCAGCACCTGACCCAAGTTTGGTGCTGTCCACATGCCACTAGGAATGTTCCCAGACAATCCATTATCAGAAACCTTCACTTCTGTTAAACCAGTGCAATTTCCAAGAGAGCTTGGTAACTCCCCAGTGAGATTGTTCTCATAAGCTACAAGTGTTGACAGCTTACCCCAATTGCACAAATGGTCTGGCAGTTTGCCAGTGAGCCTATTCCCCGAAACCTCAAACCCTTCAAGCTCTGAATACCTTACAAAGTCTGGAGGCAATGTTCCAGACAAATTATTGATGAACACTCTGAACTGTTTGAGATTTGGTAGACGGCCAATGCTTGCTGGAACCGCACCAGAAAAACCATTTAAAAACAAAGCTAACTCTGTTAACTTGGTGAGGTTTCCATAATCTTCTGGTATTGGCCCTGTTAAATCGTTTTCAGAAATATCAATAATACTCAAGTTCAATGCTTCAACCACTTGAGGTACATCCCCAGACAGGCTGTTCCTGAAGAGATAGATTATACTCAAATTCTTCAACAGAAACAAACCACTTGGGATTGTCCCATTTAAACTGTTGTATGCCAAATCCAATTCTTCCAGTGCTGCCATTTCTCCAAGTGTTCCGGGGAGTTCTCCAGTCAAATTCGACTGGCGTATATATAAATTCTTCAAGTTTTTCAACTTGGTGAAATTGGAAGGCAGATTCCATGGCACAAGATTTGTATTGTAAGAGAGATTTAGGTGTTTAAGATTGGACAAGTTACCTATTTCTGGTGGCACGGAACCATTAAAGCTGTTCATATGCAGCTGCAGGTTCCTGAGCTCTTGTAACCGCCCAATAGCCGCGGGTATGTCACCAGAAAAGTAGTTACCGGCAAGCTCAAGGTATTGAAGCCGAGGCAAGCTGTCGATATCATCAGGAATCTTGCCAACAAATGAGTTTTGAGAGAGGTTCAAGTACTGTAGCTTTGAGCAGTTGTAGAGAGCTTTTGGGAACTCTCCAGGGAGACTGATGAGGAGGAGGAGGAGGAAGAGAAGGAAGCAGAGATGGGTGTGGAGAGAAGATGTTTGGGGGAGTTTAGTCATTTTGTGATGGAGGTTCAGAAGTTGGTCTGTTCCCGCGGTTTGAACACTGGTTTTGAGGACAAGTTAATTAGAGGATGTTCATTTATGTAGAAAAACTGGAGACTTCAAAATCATTTGCTGGGTCAATGGTGGACCTGGAAAAAGGTGCTGTCAATGGAGGAGACCAAGAATCTACCACTAATTTGTGGAGGAAAACGGTGTGGTCAGTTAACTTATTATATTCCTTTTTTTTTATTTGCAAGAAGCAAGTTATATATGCATTTCATTTCCAAATTTTTTGTTGGCTTTATTTTCTTATTTTATAATAAGTCAAGGATCTGAGGTGAAGACCAGGAGCCCAATCAGTTGACATTATGTATACATAATGTGCGGACGTCCGGATGAGAGAAACTTTATTGAATGGTTGCCATAACATATATATACAGCCAAAATCCTCCTTGCCAAAAATTTAAACTGCAAGAAATTTTATTGGTATAAAACCACTTCTCTTGTCCATATTTTCGACTGAAAACTGTAATAATGGACCACACTGCACCAGAAACGTCTGCAGAAGATGAGGTAAGGTAATAAAACCAGCCAGGCTAAAGCTAAATGTGACGTGCGTGAAAGCCAAGAAGGCAAAACTTCAATTGAAGCTTCCCGGAAGGAGGCCAATGGAAAAATGTGAAGTGTGAACAAAGAACGCCTTTGTTTAATGGAGACTTTGACCCAACAAAAGTCTAGAGTTTTGGTCCCAGATGTTTCACTCAAATTATGAATGGTAAGAGTAATGGCACAGGTACGTCTGGTTTTTCACTGATATAGACAGGAAAGGAAAAAAATGAAAACAAATTCAACCAGAAGGATGAATTGCCGATTGTGACAAAATGCCTTTGAATGGAAAACAAGGGGCATAGCATAGGTGGGTTGTTCTCCTCCTGGCACTTCACTTTTCTTTGTCATAGAAGAAGATGCACAAAATTTCAGTTTAAGTGGGCTGTTGGTGTAAATAAAATCTCTAATGTAATAAACCCCATGGTAGTTTATAAGTCTATCAAAATATATGGATTCCATTGTTTCTAGAAACTGAAACTTTATATGTCACTTGTTTACCTTTGAGTCAATAATCAAGCTTCAAGGACCATGCTGATAACTTAATAAATCACAGAAGTGTATGAAGTTTGTTATTTACCCCCCAAAAAAAAAACTGTATGAAGTTTGTTGACTCACCAGTCACCACTTGCTTTGAGGACGTGATGTGGTGTGAATCACCTAGAAGAAGCCCACTGGCACAAAACCAAAAACTAATTGTTAGAAAGAGGCCTTGAGCTTCCTTTTGTATAATAGTACAGTTCTAGGTATGCTGGAGTAGTGCATCATTCTCTCCTTCCGCTCAAGTTTAAATCTTCATTTTCATATATAAGAATAATTTTGAAGTAATTTAGACTATCATTTGTATAAAAATTAGTATAGCTTTGGAGTATTCAAAGGGAAAAAGTATACTAGGCATACCCTCCATCTAAAAAAAAAAAAGAAACAATATTCTTTCCTTGTTTTGTTTTGGGTTTTAGAGGGGATAGTACTATTTTGCTCTCCTCAACCAATCACGGCATGCCATGCGAAATAAATTTTTCACGTGGCAGTCTATGACAGGCATAGGATAGCAAAACAGTGTTATCCCCGCAAGTTTTTTCTGCTAAGAGGGGCCAGTCCTAGCAGAACAAGATGGCCATTACCTTGAGTAGTTACAAGTAAAGGATTATGAACGGCTATGGTTGAAAGCTTCGGTAACAAGTAACAGTTGGAGAGAATATCTTTCCTTCATTATTTCCTTGATCTAATTTCCATCATCAATTAAAGCATTGTTTTTCTAACATATGGGTATAATTGAAAAACTAAACAAATTTTACTTCTAATTCCTCTTGTTGAACTCAACCAAGCCTATCAAACATTTGTTGCCAATCTACCATCACCGTCTTCCAGTATCTGCTCGCGCTTCGAATTCTTGAGCAGAGGAGCACCAACATAATCAGTCTTTTCTCTGTGAACTCCTGGATGGCCGCATCGGAGCAAGATTTGCAGAACCTCCTTCATGGAAGGCCTAGCAGAAGGAAGTTTCTCGGTGCAATAGATGCCAAGTCTGAAAACGGAGCACATTTCATCCAAGTACCAAGTTTCTTTGATGTCCTTGTCCAAAGCATCGGCAAGAGGGTTGTCTTCTTGAACATGGCGCCATGCCCATTCGGCAAGAGCAGTGTGTTCGTCACCATCATTAGCTTCCCTTCCGGTGGTCAACTCCAGAAGGACGACCCCAAAACTATATACATCAATCTTCTCATTCACTCGTATATGGTATGAGCACATTCTGCATTCAAGTGAAAATAAAATAAAATAAAACCTGTGAGACTGCTAATAGAAACAGAGGAAAAATAACACATTTTTCTTTAGGAACGATCTCTAACATTTGTAGGGTGCAAGGTTTACCTGGAGCAATGTAGCCAATGGAGCCAGCAACAATTGTAGCAAGTTCTCCTTGCTTGACCAACATCTTGGCTAGACCAAAATCTGCTATTTTTGCATTAAAATCAGAGTCTAACAAGATGTTACTCGATTTCACATCTCGATGCACAACGGGTGGCACACAGTCATGATGCATATAGCAGAGGCCCTGAGCAGCCCCCACTGCAATATGCAACCTCTTAGGCCAGTCCAGCACAACATGGTGGACTGACCTTGAGAGATTGGATGGCCTTTTTCTCTTGTGCAGCCACTGATCCAGGCTTCGATTCTCCGAGTACTCATAGACAAGTAGTTTTGAATTGTCCTTGGATATACAGCACATCAGCTTCACTATGTTGGCATGTCGAATGGAACTCAATATCTTGACTTCTGCAAGAAATTCTTTTTCAAGCTTCTCTTCTAACTTCTCTTTCCAAATCTTTTTCACGGCAACAACATCGCCTGTACAATTGACAGGAACACGATAAACTTTTCCTGATCCGCCACTTCCAATCATATTACTTTCTGTCAATCCTGAGAGAATTTTTGACACTCTGAAATTCAACCTCTGAAATGCGGTGAGCTTCCAATCAGAATCCGATCTCTTTCTCTTCCTGACCATGAAGAATGATAAGGACAAAGCCAACAAGGACAAAAGTATGCCGAAAGTTAAGATCAATGCAAGATATGCGGACGAAATTTTTCTGGACTTTCGAGGTTGAGAATTACATATGCTGAGTTTTGCTGAGGGGCTAATTGCACAGAGACCATGATTGTCCAAGAAGCTTACGTCATAAGCAGGATTTTCAAATTCAATTGGGATCTTCCCAGATAGGTGATTGGAAGAGAGATTGAAGCTGTTGAGCTTCAGATGCCCAAGTTGAGCTGGAATTTTGCCAGAAAGTTGGTTTTCTGAAAGGTCCAGTGCAGTAAGGACTGGTAGAAGACTAAGTCCCGCTGGAATTGGTCCAGAGAGTTGATTTCGACTGAAATTAAGAGTGTTGAGTGATTTCCATGATATAATCTCTGATGGAAGGAAGCCAGTAAGCTGATTCTGATCAAGAGAAAGAAACATTAAGCCAGGAAGAGCAGTAAGTTCCTGAGGGATAGTACCGTTAAAAAGGTTATTACCGGCGTCAAAAACCTCCAAATTCCAGGATGACACCCCGGTTGGAATGTTACCTGAAAATCTGTTACCTCTGATTTCCAGCCGTGTAAGACTCCGAGATATTTTCTCAGGAAGCTCACAGGTAAGAGAGTTGTTGCTCATCAGCACCTTACCCAAGTTTGGTGCTGTCCACATGCCACTAGGAATGTTCCCAGACAATCCATTATCATAAACCTTCACTTCTGTTAAACTAGTGCAATTTCCAAGAGAGCTTGGTAACTCCCCAGTGAGATTGTTCTCATAAGCTACAAGTGTTGACAGCTTACCCCAATTGCACAAATGGTCTGGCAGTTTGCCAGTGAGCCTATTCCCCGAAACCTGGAACCCTTCAAGCTCTGAATACCTTACAAAGTCTGGAGGCAATGTTCCAGACAAATTATTGATGAACACTCTGAACTGTTTGAGATTTGGTAGACGGCCAATGCTTGCTGGAACCGCACCAGAAAAACCATTTAAAAACAAAGCTAACTCTGTTAACTTGGTGAGGTTTCCATAATCTTCTGGTATTGGCCCTGTTAAATCGTTTTCAGAAATATCAATAATACTCAAGTTCAATGCTTCAACCACTTGAGGTACATCGCCAGACAGGCTGTTCGTGAAGAGATAGATTATACTCAAATTCTTCAACAGAAACAAACCACTTGGGATTGTCCCATTTAAACTGTTGTATGCCAAATCCAATTCTTCCAGTGCTGCCATTTCTCCAAGTGTTCCGGGGAGTTCTCCAGTCAAATTCGACTGGCGTATATATAAATTCTTCAAGTTTTTCAACTTGGTGAAATTGGAAGGCAGATTCCATGGCACAAGATTTGTATTGTAAGAGAGATTTAGGTGTTTAAGATTGGACAAGTTACCTATTTCTGGTGGCACGGAACCATTAAAGCTGTTCATATGCAGCTGCAGGTTCCTGAGCTCTTGTAACCGCCCAATAGCCGCGGGTATGTCACCAGAAAAGTAGTTACCGGCAAGCTCAAGGTATTGAAGCCGAGGCAAGCTGTCGATATCATCAGGAATCTTGCCAACAAATGAGTTTTGAGAGAGGTTCAAGTACTGTAGCTTTGAGCAGTTGTAGAGAGCTTTTGGGAACTCTCCAGGGAGAGATCAAGTACTCTAGCTTTGAACAGTTGTAGAAAGCTTTTGGGAACTCTCCAGGAAAGTAGTTGTAGCTGAGATCAATGAGTGTGAGGTTCTTGAGATCACAAATGAAAGGTGGAACTTGTAGGGTGATGTCCTTGTTGGACAGAGAAAATCCGGTGACGGAGTTGTTTGTGCAGGTGATCTCAGGCCGCCAGGAACAGTGGGAAGTGTTTGATGTTGATGGAATCCAATGGCTGAGGAACGGTGGAGATTGCAAGTATGACTTTAGTTTTAGCAGAACAGCTTGTTCCTGGTCTTGCAATGACTGAGAGTTGGCATGGCTGATGAGGAGGAGGGGGAGGAAGAGAAGGAAGCAGAGATGGGTGTGGAGAGAAGATGTTGGGGTTCGTTTAGTCATTTGGTGATGGAGGTTCAGAAGTTGGATGACCAATCTTGGCCTCTCTTCTACACTACCACTCAAACTTTGTGTGAACTTTTGAGTCAAAAACGAAAAACCAAGCGTCAATAACCAATATGCTGATAACACGTTCGCACGTCAAAAGAAATTCTTTAGATATTAATTAATTATCAATCAATTATATTATCACGTTCGCACGTCAAAAGACATAAGAAAAATGATTTTCATAGAAACACAGGAAAAATAACACACGTATTGTATGAGCACATTCTGCATTCAAGTGAAAATAAAATAAAATAAAACCTGTGAGACTGCTAATAGAAACACAGGAAAAATAACACACCTTTCTTTAGGAACTAAGGGCTTGTTTACATATCAGTAATGAAGAAAGTAAGGTATCAAAGAATTTAGGAATCGGGGAACTACTGAATCGGTATGGGAAGAATCATTCTCATTAAGCTGTTTACTAAACATATGGAATTAGCAAAGGAATGGGGTTGATTCCCATTGTTATTGTTTACTAATTTTCATGAATCAAAATCCAAATTAATTTGATTACTAAAATGCCCTGCACATTTTCACCACAGCACATATATAATTCTCAAATTGGCTAAGGAGACCAAACTAATCCGGTAGGAAACTAGTAAGGCGGTGTAAACATGAGGAATCAATATGTTGAACAAGATGAACAGCAAGAGGCCAGTTCAATGATAATGTTAATAACACTCTTGTCAAGAGCCAATTTCAAACGAAAAAATAAACTCCAATAAATATACATCTTTCACCTACGTAACTAGTAAACAATCAAATAATAATGACCTGCATAATATTCATACTACCAAAAAAAGAGATATATAATCTCCACAAAAGTCTTTATCTATGACCGTACTATGTTTTGTGATGAATGTGAAGACAAAAGATAGAAGAAGAAGATAGATAGATAGATAGATAGAATGATTTACATAGCATAAGGCGTTGCTGCTGCTTATGGGAGGTTGTGTCTGCAACGATAATGTGAAAAAGAAGTTGGAGCGTCTTGGAACTTCTTGGCGTGAGTTTTTATTTTTTTTTAGGGTTTGGGGTTTTTTGGAATTATGGTAACGTAGTAAAGGTATTTTTGGAAGTTATTAAGAGAAAACAAGAATGGGAATCGTATTGACTACTCCCTCCTAGGTGATCTGATACCCAGTTTTTAGGGGATGTGATTACGGATTTTGAGGTGGGGCCCACTTATTTTTTCATTCTTGATTGCAAGTAAACGCAGGGGAAGTCAGGAATGGAAATCATTCCCTTTCCTCCCATACCCATTACTGATACGTAAACATGCCCTAACTTCAACATTTGTGGGCTACAACATAAATGTAGCCAAATGCACAACTTGTGGCACACTGTAGTGATGCATATAGCAGAGGCCCCGAGCTGCACCCACGAATGTACAACCTCTTAGGCCAATCCAGCATATGAGGTTGGACTAACCTCGAGAGATTGGATGGCCTGTTTCTCTTGTGCAGCCATCGATCCAGGCTTCGTTTGTCCGAGTACTCATAGACAAGAAGTTTTGAATTGTCCTTGGATATACAGCACATCAGCTTCACTATGTTGGCATGTCGAATGGAACTCAATATCTTCACTTCTGCAAGAAATTCTTTTTCAAGCTTCTCTTCTAAGTTCTTATCTTTCCAAATCTTTTTCACGGCAATAACATCACATGTACGATTGACAGGAACACGATAAACTTTTCTTGATCTGCCACTTCCAATCATATTACTTTCTGTCAATCCTGAGAGAATTTTTGACATTGAAATTCAACCTCTGAAATGAGGTGAGCTCCCAATCTGAATCTGATCCGTTTCTCTTCCAATAACCTCTGACCAGAAGAATGATAAGTGGGTGACCTTGTTCATGTCAAAAATAAAGCCTTGTGAAGGGAACATATGTCAAACTGCAACCTCACACCAAGGACTTTCTTGACATCTCAAGCCCTAAAGCCATTTTGGAGCTACTCTTGTTTAACCTTCGGTGACACTATCATGGTTCCTTATAACAGTAAGAAGTATTACATCAACATAATTGAAACAAAGCCCTCCTCTGCAATCAGTATAGTTGATACCAACTGCGAGGTTGATTTTGCCCCTCCTCTTGATTATGTGGAGCCTGAAAAGAAGCCAGCACCATCCGCTCGGTGTTTAGTTCATTTTTACACATGATTTATCATGTTATTCACCCATTATTTTGAGTTAGTTCTTGACATTTTATAGCTTTTTTACTTCCTTTTTTGTGTTTTATTAGGTTTTACCTTGGTTAGAATGAAAATGAGCTAAAAGTGCATTATTTGTTATAAATTCTGTTTTTGTTCATTTTCGTAGGTCAACTTCTTGGCCTTGGATCAGCATGCTCCAATGCTTGATGAGGTGAAGATCTTCATGAAACATGTTCCAATGGATGTTGACTATAACATATCCGAATTTGAGCTCCATTGGACAAGTGTAGCCTATCCAACTGATCCAACAATTGATGCTGGCTCTGGAAATCTGTTTTGGGCCAGTTTTACTTTCACTTGGTGTTACCTCATTTCTACTTGTTACCATGCCATTTGGTAACAATAAATTACCTTATTGAAGTGGAATTTTCTGAGACAAATAGCATCTTTGTCAAGACAAAAATCCATCATGAAGAGGAGACAAGGAGACAAGGGTGAGTTGGAAAGGAGAAGAGAGATGAGAGCATAGAGAAGGCATCTTCCTTTAGGCAATTGACTTGGGCAGATTGTAGGGAACGGGGGAATTGAATTAGAGAGCACTTGCAGAGTAAGAGAGCGGGTTTTTGGAGCTAGAAGAGGAAGAAGGGAGGAGACTTCCACCATTGAAGACTTCAAGCTTTCATCACTTCCAAAATCTGTAAACTCTTTCTAGTTTTGTTTTGAATTTGTAGTTGAATTAAGTATGAGCAACTAAACTCCATAGTTAGGGCTTAGGTTGAAGCCCTAAACATGATTACTCTATTGTTTTGATGCTTGAGTGTATGAATCTGTAGATTTTGTTGATGAATTCCATTTCACTTTTATAATCTATCCTTGATGTATGTTTTTCTTTGATTGATCACCTTTGAAAGCATGCTTCTTGAGGTTGTTAGGATTGTGTGAATTCTTCATATTTTCCTAAGTAACAAATGGATGAAGTAAGAACCATCCATGTGAATTGGTTTCTTGAATGCCTAATGTAAACACCATGCTATTAGGATTCTTGTGATGTTCATATTCTCTTTGAACTTAATGGGTTTTCCTTGTAATTGAATCGAAGTACTAAGCACACCTAGGTTCGGTTATGGGGAGGGCACGAGTATTGTAGCACTAACCCTGCACTCTACTTATTTTAGAGAGAATCATGTATCTTGAGCCACTAAACCCGGTCTTGATTGCGAACATCTTCATCAACACGTTTAGAGTTCATCACTTGAGTATTCACGAACTTGAGTAGGATTGTTTAGGGTGGATTCTGAAACCCTAGTGTTTGTTACTTTGTACTTTCACACTTTGATAACTCATCTATGCCATTCTCATTTAAATTTAAAGTTCATTTACTTTCATGCATTAGAAATAGGTCACTCAAATCAA